AACCCAAATGTAAAAAATATTGCAAAGCAAAAGTTCTATCATGTTGTGTTACCTTCGCATCAAACGGTTTGTGGTCCTGCGTAAATGCGGCCCAGTATTCAGCGGCCACCTAAAAATTTATACAATATTTGGTCTTTTAATGACACATGAGTTTCCATTAAAAATAGGTTTCACAGCGTATCGCACCTCCCTTTGCTCCTATTTGTGTAGGGCGGGAAGGGGCATTTAAGGGGCCGCAAACCCATGATATTCGAGCACCTGCAGTGACAGATAAACCGTTTTGTCTGCTAGAGTCACCTCATGCTCAACACGAACGATGTTTCAGGAGCTGATCATTCTAACATGATCCCGCATAAACGTCCAAACCGTTTCGTAAGCCGAAGCTTCTCATATTCTATGTTGATCTCTCTGGCTCTTGGCCAAGTCCCATTCACTAATATCGTGGTCTTGACACTGGACTGACTCTACACTATCACTTTCTAAATGCTTTAGTAGTGTAAGGTTAAGCTTGTGCACCTTTATCTACAATGAACGCAATCAGACAAATGAATGTTGAAACAGCTCTGCATGAATGGAAGCACGAAATGTGTATATTTCAACAATCACGCACGAACTGACTCAATGACTGCATAATATTCTCACAATCTAGGTCACTAACTGTTGAATATCTTTGACAAATCAAATAAACTTCACGATAATTCAGGAGCTGATAATCTATGATCTTCCAGTGTCATTAATCGGATTGATCTATCATAGAATTCATTAGAAAGTATCAGGAAATGAACCCTAACGAGCGCAGACAAGTAGGGAATATTGGAGACAGATAAAGAATTTTAAAATTTTTCACGAGAATGGACACAAAACCCACATAATCAGAAAAACAAATCCCCTAAAAATTAAAAAACCAGTACTTGGATTATTTCATCGTGGACCATCTGGTCAACAGTTGGGACCGAACGATTTTTGCCGGCAATCATGGTCATTTTTCAATCTTTATCAAACGTCTAAACTTCGTTCGACTGGAAATTCTTCAACAAAATGGCGAAGTTTCTCGAAACCTAAGTACAGATTTGGGAAAATATGTTGGATTTAAAAGCGTACATAAATTCGCATTCAATTGCAAAAAACCAACAGTACAATAACTGAGACCCATTTATTCGTGTTTTTTATGCTTCTACAACTGATGAGGAATAAGTGGAAAAATTCTATCAAAAACTGGAACAGTCAATGGTGTCCAAAGTCAATATATGTCGTCGTTATGAGAGGCTTCGATGCCAATGGCAAACGAGGAAGGGTCTGTGAAAAATGCGTCGACAGATATGGCACCGGAGAGAGAAGTGAGTGAGAAGACCGCATAATGATCATAGCAGAAATTAACAATTGTGTACTGGCAACATTTGCTTTAAGAAGAAAACCAATAAAAACATGAAACAGGTGGATATGGATCGCTCCAAACGCGACCGATAAATGACACACCACTCGAGACATTAGCAGTAACGTCATCATTTACAAAACCGATAGCTGCCACAGACTGGTGCATGCCAGGCTAACTTTCGACAAAGAAGAAGATAGATACAAGTATTCCAGATGTTCAATCGTAGCTGCGGGTATTTGATGAGACAATGCGCTAAATATGCATTTTCAGTGAAGACTTGAGCCTGAAAGGCTGCTGCGATGACGACTTCCAGATGTTCGCTGAGAAACTGAGACGATGCGGAAAATCAGCCAAGGTGGCAACATTAAAGAGAGTGAAATAAAGAATCTCAGAAGAGGCGTTTTGTTCGAGGAAAACGCCAATCAGCTACAAGTCATACTGCAAGAACTCGAGAGAAACAGTGCAGAAATTGACCAAACACGAAGACACTGTGATCGGAAGCCCTGCTGAATACCCAGGTAATACTGAGCGATGAAAAGATTACCGCCGACAAGCTACTGGTGGGTGAGCCGAGCTTAAGTGTCCAACTTAGCTTCATTAAGCCGTACGCTGTCTGATCAACGTGATGGGTATGTGGTCGCGTCGTGAGGTTTTCAAAATTTTTCTTTCCATGGCGCTCTTCGGCTTTAGTGAGTGACAACTCTCACAGTCATACAACAAATACCGACAGGACAGCAGAATGAAAGAGCCAGATGAGGGTTTTCTTCCTGATGGATGTCGCCGATGAAGACATCCTAGATGGAACGAAACGTACACGTCTGTCCTCGTTTTTTAAATATAAGCACTAAACCATAATAACTTCAGAACACCATTCAATAAACAAGTAACTATCAGAAGATTTCAAATGGCAAATGCAGACACGTAAGGAAGAGAAGTTTTAGTCGAAGCTACATGCAACCGATTTCGACTAGTAAGACATAAATCACAAGACTTTAGTGTGGTGACGTAGCGATTTTTCTTGAAAAAAAATTTCAAATGGAAATGGTGCGTGTAACACCGAAAACGAACAAATGAACTAGTGAAGCAACCTCAGTAGTCGGCTTCAAGTCAAGTTTTAGTGGTATGGTAGGCAAAAAAATCACCAACTTTTCGGCATGTTTACAGAAAATAAAGCACAAAACAACAAACAAGAAGGAACAGATGTACAACAGGACCGTTCACGAAGAATTCGACTGGAGCAGGCTTCTGAATGTGACTGGATCCCTAAGAGCCCAGGGTCAAGATTAGGTGAGGCATAACTGAGCACTTGAAAATTTTAGTTCTGACATACATATAGTTGAACTTGTTGCACCTTGCCTTCACATCTGATTTACACTTGGTTCTATATCCTAAACAAGATCTGAAAGATGGAACGTTGCCATTCATCGCGTTTCCCTTGTCTTAACATCTGTTTATTATATTTGCGGCAATTCATTGTTTATAAGCTCCTTACATATGAAATACCTGCGTAAGAAGCAAAACTTCTTTTTTTTAGCGTTGGGAGAAAAAGACGCACTATACAAAAGGAAGTTTTTTTGGTTCCAGTGCTTTTAGCAACCTGTTCAATATATTCGGGCTGGCAAAGAAGATATATTCGCTTTCGACAAAAATCCGCCTGCACCTTGCGTAACTTAGATAAGCGTTACTATGCGACTAAGAGATCGTAAAACTGAACGAAAGACCAAGGGCGAAAAGTTGAACAGAGTACGGCAGAGCTGCTTAAATGAAATATTAGGGTTAAACCAGAGGTCGGAGTAAGGAATAACTTTATTCTCTCTTCCAGCAACAGATATCCTTAGTAGACCTGGATATTAACAAAATGAGACTAACCATTTACTCCAGCCTATGAACCTTTTATATTGAAACCGAAACATAAAGGAAAAACAAACGTAGAGGCAGATATTCGTTTGGAAAGGAACTGTGCCTTCTACAATGCAGAAATGGATTTCTTACAGTAAAACCTGAGAATACAGCGGTCATGACAAATAAGAGACGTTCTGCTAAAGCAAACCGCCAAAGATTACGATAATTACAAACATGTATACAAAATGAGGTGAAAGGTAGATGTGAACAACGGGTCCTTGTTAATTTACCAATTAAACAATCATTCAGCTGTAATAATTGGCAAAGAAACGGGTTGAACGTGAAGATATACTGGAATGGGTGAACATATCGAATCTCAAGCAGCCTGCAGTTTTGCAAAGTGGATACGAATGATGACGAAAACGTAACATGGCAGAGACACTGGTGACAGATTCAGTCAAATGAGACTACAGGGGTGAGCGCTTTTAGTTAAATAGTAAGCCGTTAACTTTTTCAGTCATCACCATAAAGGCGTCGTCTTAGAAAAATATCTCCATTATGAATCAGTGTCCTGCTGAAGATTAGCATATTCTTTGAAAGACGTGGAAACAAAGCTCAATACATTTCAACAGAACTCCTGCTAGGGTTCGACAGTACTTTACAGAAAAATAACTGGCCAAATACTCCAACAAGGACGCTTAGTTTAAGGCACTTTATAATCAACTGAGGATTTATATCACCCGAACCATGTGCATACTTGTGATAAGCAAAGTACGAAAATATCATCATAAAAATAAGTTCGATAATGGATTGTTTTCTTGATGCATAGTTAAAGCCTAAATGCGAAACAGAAATGAAAAGGTCTGCAGAACGTTTTGCTAACAGTCGACCCAGAACGTCACCAACATCAGTAACGTCATCATAACTGAAAATAAGCTCAATATATAGATTCTCTTCAGAAATGAGCGCATACCAATAAAGAATGACCCTTAATCAAGAATAATTTTAATATCCCTGAATACATGGGATAATCTTTGTTTCCATGATCACTGAAACCAAGAAGTGCAAAATTTCCATAAGCCATCCACTTTTCCAACACAAAATTCGTAAAACGGATTACTACTATTCCAAGAAACAGTATTTTGTCCGGTTTCTGCACGAGATATAACCTTGATCACACTGAAACTCAAGCGATCACGTTTGTTTAACTACTTTTTGGAGGGAAAGCTGCCGCCAGCGAAATTCGAACATCTATGTACAGTACTGTTTAAATTTAGTTTTCACGTAATAACTGTCGTTGTATATCGTAGTGTAACATAACGTAAACGTACAATTAATTTAAAATCTATTTTCCAACGATTAAGGAAAGACCTTCATCTTCATCTTCATCTTCCATCGCCGCTTCTCCTTTTGGGTCGCGGAGGCAGACGCGTCAGACAGT